TTGTCTAAATATCCATCATCAGCCAAACTGGTACGATCATGTTTAAATTCTGCCCATTTTTTCACAGTGACAAATGATGGAGCAGAGTCCCTGTAAACAGTCTAACTCGGCTTTAAGGAAGTTCTCATGCTACTTCTTAATTAATAGATAGTTTATTCATAATAATATGTAAAATAATTAAAATAATGGAATAAAAAGATTATTAACAATATCTTATGTCATTATACATAATTATTGTTAATTTTATGTTACTAAATATTTTCAAAATAACAAAATAAAAATTGTAAGATACTCATTTAATGCATCGTCCATTTGACATATATTCTAGCTTTTTTCATTGAAGAAAAAACGTAAATTTTTTATAACTTTTTTAACTGTACGATCAATTTAAATGAAACTTTACGAGAACAAACTTAAGTGTTTATTTTATAATTATAACGATTTTTAAATACAAAAAAAATCATTAAAAAACCGTAATGTTTACGGTTTCGGTTTTCTTTACTGATAAAAAAAAACTGAAATTGAAATCGGAACATTTATTTGATATTTTATTAAATCGGAACCGAATCGAAAAAATCTTTCGATCTCTGCTGGAAATATAATCTTAAACTGAAGTTGGAATACATAATATTACAAATTAAATTCATAATTAAAAATTGGCAATTTAATATTATTGATGATAATTATTTTTAAAATAATGTAAAGAATTTATTGCGGAAAATATCATTGTAGGAATTTGAACTTGGAACCTTCCTCATTCTGTGACGGGTACATTCATAATTTTGATAGTCTAACGGAATAATTTTTATATCAGATTTGTATTTAATTAATTTTGTAGATACTTTAGCAAAATCGTTCTTTCCATGTACTCTCGATAGTAAATCACTATTTATTTCGCGTCATTTCAGATTTCGGTTTCGCACAGTATCTCTCGAACTCTGAACACAAATTCACGATACGAGGCTCACCTCTCTACATGGCACCCGAAATGCTATTGAAACATAAGTATGACGCTCGTGTCGACCTATGGAGCGTCGGAGTGATCATGTACGAATGCCTTTTCGGGAAAGCTCCATATTCCAGTAGTAGCTTTCAAGAACTAGCAGAAAAAATCAAGGATAGCCGACCAATAGAGGTGTGATTCCATTGTTAATCGGGGATTATTCCGAATGTAGGGATATTTTCCCACCTGAGTGTCACTCCCAGGGTGTCACGTCATCCTTGTCTAACGTACATAAACAAGGGTGAAAAAAAGAGTGACATTCAGGAATTTGAACTCAGCAAGATGACGATTTTATCCCAGTAGAAAGAAAATGAAACACAATTTTTACAATTAATATCGAACAATTGACAATTTCTTCTTCCATATTTATTTTTTCATTTATTCTTATTTTTAGAAAATATTAAATAAATGTATAATGATTCGAAATACTAATAAATTATAGAATCAATATATAATATCTAATTAACAATAGTAAATTTTAATTGAAATGTAAAAATCCCAGACGTTTGTTTTCACAATAAAAAACTAGATAACTATTATCGGATTGAAATTTATTTTATTTATACGTTCGTGTTTAGCTTTAAACATTTTGATATAACATTAGTAATTCTTTATATTAAATGTACGAAGTACATTACATTATTCGTATTAAGTTTCGCAATTTTTTTCGAGTTCAATAAAGATATTGATGATCATATCGCGAGATAAATAATTCAGTGATGTGCAAAGATCGTCAATTTGATGGCGTATAAAAAAATGCATTAATTCGCGTTAGAGTTCAAACGTGATTGTAAATCACTTATCAGAATTAGTATTATTCACCGTAGATGCCGAAGGCGGCTCATGTGTCGACGACGTGTAAGGATTTGCTTATGGCTCTGTTGAAGCATAATCCTGCCGATCGGATAACGTACGATGAATTTTTCGCACACGATTTTCTAGACTTGGAACATGCACCTACGAAAGAAAATTATGAGAAGGCAGCCACATTGGTACACAAAGCCGTTGAAATGGATACCGAGAAAAATGCAAAAGAGGCATTTTATCTTTACTGCGAGGCGCTTAGATATTTCATTCCAATATTGACAGGTAAGATTGTTTCGTATATTGTTAACATTCGAATATGTTTCGATTTAGATTTCCTGAAATTTTTATAAATGCTTTATTATATAATCATACGTCTATTCAATTAGACGAAAGTGATATAAAACGAAAAGAGGTATTACGACATCGCGTCAACGATTATATAAGAAGAGCAGAAACACTTAAAAAAGTAGCATTTATAGATAAAAACACCGGGAAGCATCTGGCGCCTGAAAATAAAGGGAATGTTTCGTCCCTACAAAGGATATCCTTAGAAAAAAGCTCAGCATTCATCTATAATGAATTACGTTTGTATTGTATTGGGTCCATAAAAAAATGTTTATCTCAAATGAAATATTATCTGAATGCTATTTTTTAGGGATGCACCGGATCATAAAATTATCAGATACCGGATATCCGACCGGATTTAGAGAAAGTGTCTTCTAAAAAAAAGCCTATAAAGGAAAAGATTGTAATTTTACACAATCTATAAGATGTTGTAGCATTATGAATATTTATTTCTAGGACATATTTATTTCTAGAACATTTGTATGAGAAAAAATCAAACAATTTCATGATATCAAATTTCAATCGAACATATTCCCAGAATTACTAATGATATCCGATTATCCGGTCGGATAGTTAAAGAATGCCGGATAATACTGGATACTTTCCGGGTATCCGATACATCCCTATTATTTTTCATTATTTACGCTTTAAACTAAAATATTATCGTTTAAAATAGCGTAAAATTCTAAATTATTAGATTATAAAAGATAACTTGTTTATTAATAGGGGTTCTCAGTAAAAGTACTACAAATATGGTGGATGCACTTGAAATAGGAGAAGTTGCTGAGCAGTATCTCGCTGAGGGTAACTATGCTCTGGCTCTAGAAAAATTTCAGTCCTGTCTAAGTGTACTTGTACCTCTGCTGGGTAAAGAACCGGCAGGTCGAAGAAGAGATTTGCTGCATAAGCAGGTGATTAGATAAATCAGAATATTACACTCTACTGAAACATCTAAACTTATTTCTAAAGTCTTCAAATTTTTTTTTATGAACATTAATACGAAAATAAATAAAAAAATATTAATATAAATGAATTACGCATATTGAAAAAAGATAACCATATATATTTAATATATATATATGCTAAAAAATTTAATAAATAATTTGACAGATATACTAATAAATAATCGTAATTCTTTTTAAATCTTTGGATAATTGTACGCATCAATAAATTCTATTGGAAAGTAAATTTATTATATAAAATGATCTTAATGATTTTATGCCGCTTCAAGGATATCTTGTTGTGTTGCTTCACTATTCAAATAGCTTGAAAAGTATAATATAAAAAGTATAATATGAAATATTGTAATCTATTCCATACAATGACACGAAAGTAAAAAGGTTCAAGAGGATAATGTGAATTAATTACACGGAGTGATTCGTGAATTTGTGTGTTGTTAAAATAAAAGGGAGCATGAACAACAGTTTACCCTGAGAATATCGCACAAGCATTTGAACACGCGTTTGGTGTTCGTACATGTTACACGAGGCGGCTATTCGAGAGATGCTTATTGAAAGTGCATCTATCGGAGGGTTGAATTGTTATAATATGCTATTATTTTATCATTTATAAATTAAACTAAAATATAATGATAATAATATATTTATTGAAATTTGTAAAAAGTATTTAAAAGATGACATTGTTATTTTTATTATTTTGTTGATTTTTTAAATCAATATATATGTGTGTATATTTGAATACAGTTTTTAATATTTTTGATTGATAGGTACAAATTTGGATGAAGGAAGCCGAAAGTACCAAAGGGTTGTTGGCTACCAAGGATATAGATTCCTTGCAACGAACATCCGACGAACAATGTGTATTACAATAACAGATGTTTATGTAACTGATATTGTAGAATAATTATTATTTTAGCTGTCAATATTTTCCGCACCATTGTACAAACTTTGCCATTTGTCATCTTGTACCATGCATTATTTAATTAATTAATGTAATAAATAATTTTATATTTACTTATTATTAATTTTAATTATTAATTTAATATTTGCTGTAATATACGAATATTAATTATTATGTCTGCTTACATAACACAAAGATCAATCCAGGTAACATGATCCGAACACTTTCAGCAGCATTGCAGCGACGTTGCAACATTTCAAGGGCCTTATTCCCAAAAAGCCGCCCATATGAAAATAGTTGCTGCAAATGGTTACAATTCTATATAATATGGGCATATCTAAACCGACATTCTTCAAATATTAATTAATTGCAAATAGTTATTTCAAGAATCAATTAAAAAATCAATGTTTTCAACAATATATAGCTGGAAGAACTCTCTAAAAGATGAGGGCGCATGCATCGCTTTATGATTTCCGGTATGATCACGTGATCAAATAACGGTCGCGGAGCGACCATCCCGACATTTCATGGAAAATTCCCATTTCTGAGCTGAAAACTT